GGAGGAGGAGGAGGAGGAGGAGGAGGAGGAGGAGAATTGCAGTGTCCTGGGTGCTCTCTGAGCTTGGTTGTTTTCTTGCAGACATTTCATGACCCAACTAGGTAGCATCGTCAGTGCGCGTGGCAAACCCCACCGCTCCTTCACACTGATGATGTTCTCAAGTTGAGCCATGACTCACCTGCACCAAGTTCAAAGAGCACCTGGTTATGCTAGTTGCAGGGAGATCACCTGGGTTCCTCCACGTCCACAGTACCTTTGCCAATCTGTAGGTCTCTGAAGATTTCGGTCAAGGTGAGTATCTTCCACTGCCACAGAGCTGCCTCTTCCTTTGTCCTGTTCTCCAGCATGGCCACTTGCAAGAGAGGTAAAGACAGATAAACACTGGAGGAGAAGATTGAGGACAAGAGAGGACATCTCCTGCGCTTTTCTAAGACAGATGGGGCTTCTTCCAAGAAGAGGTTGAACAAATGATCAGTGAAGTTGAAGGAAATAAATATTAAGTTACTCTTTTATAGTAGAATTAGAAATATTAAGTGCATTATTAAGCTGTGTTGTCTTTGTTGCTGTATCCTAACCACAAAGTATGTTCAGTTAAACAAAATGTGTTGGATACTTGCAGGCTTCTTAGAAAACAGGAACATCTGCTCAAGGCAAAGCTACAAACAAACAAGATAAGATATCTGGTGCCTAGGAAGAAACGGGCAAGCCGATTCTTTACTTTATATTATGCTATGTTATATTATGTTTATGATCCAAACTCTGTCAAGGATCTTGGAGTCCTCATCTCTAATGTTCTAAGTGCTAGAGCCCACAGTAACTACACAGCCAAAAAGGCATTAATTTCATGTATTCAAAACAATGTATACACTTATACTTATTATCTTGTAAACAATTGACAAATCAAATCAAATAAATAAAAATAAATTGTTAACCTAATCCTACCTAGGTTTTCTCTGGTAATATCACACTACTAACTAGAGCATACAAAACATTTGCTAGACCTATACTCGAATACAGCTCATCAGTCTGGAACCTGCATTATGTATCTGATATTAACACAGTTGAGAAAGTCCAGAAATATTTCACAAGAAGAGTTCTCCACTCCTCTACTCGTTGTAGAAGACCTTATGCCACCAGACTCGAAATTCTAGACCTAGAAAACCTTGAATTACGCCGTCTTCGGTCCGATCTAAGTATGGTATATAAAATCATACATTGCAATGTCTTACCTGTCAATGAATACTTCAGCTTCAACCACAACAACACAAGAGCACACAATAGATACAAACTCAAGGTTAACCGCACCAAACTTGATGGCAGGAAATACGACTTCAGCCACAAAGGGGTCAATGTCTGGAATCCTCTACCTGACTCTGTGGTTTCTTCCCCAAACCCCAAAAACTTTAACCTTAGACTGTCCACTATTGACCTCACCCCTTTCCTAAGAGGTCTTTAGGGGGTGTGCATAAGCGCACCAACGTGCCTACCATCCCTGTCCTATTGTTTATTTTTATTTTTCTTATATGTACCAATTTCATGTATTCATAACTATGTTTATACTTATACTTGTTATCTTATAATTGCTTGACAAAATAAAATAAAATAAAAATAAAAATTATAATAAGACTTAGAGAAAATAAGGGGAGTAGGGAGAGCTTCCTAGGCATGATGTACAATGTGTAGAGAGTATAAAATGTATTGTTTGACCATGAGACCTTGCTCTTCTTGTACCCAATCCACTTTGGAAGGGACTTGAAGGCCCATCTGCAAACACTTACTTTCTTTAACAAACCTTCGAATTGTGAACCATACCTGTCTCTGTATTGTGAGAATTAAATAATTTGGGTCTTACATCTCACAAACCCCACACTCCTTCACACCTCTTCCAAGAAGAGGTTGAACCAATTATCGGTGACATTTTCAAAGACATTTTCTTGTACCAATAGAAGAGAGCATTTGTAGCTCAGGGTTGAACAGTGGGCTCTCGGTGCTCTCTTAGCTTGCTCGTTTTCTTACAGATGTTTCATGATCAATCTAGGTAACATCTTAAGGGCTAGAAGTGTGGCGGGGGTTTCTAACACAGATAATATTCCTGAGTTGGGTCATGAAACATCTGCAAAGAAACAACCCAACTCAGAAAGCAACAAGGACTCCACAGCTGCTGCTTCTTCTTCTTCTTCTTCTTCTTCTTCTTCTTCTTCTTCTTCTTCTTCTTCTTCTTCTTCTTCTTCTTCTTCTTCTTCTTCATCTTCATCTATCTCTATCTCTTCCTCTACTATTTCTTCTACTTCTTCCTCCTTCTCTTCTTCCTCTACCTTCTCCTCCTCTTCCTCCTCCTCCTCCTCGTCTTCTCCTCCTCCTCCTCCTCCTCTTCCTCCTCCTTTCCCCCTCTTCCTCTTCTTCCCCTTCTTCCCCTTCCCCTTCCTCCTTCTGCCTTTCTCTCTTCTCCTTCCTTTTTTCTCCCTTTCATTCCTTCTCCTCCTTCTCTATCTTCCCTTTCTCCGTCTTCTCTATTTTTCCCACATTGTCCTCCTCCTCTTTTTTTCTTCTCCATCCATCCTCCTCCTTCTCCTTCCTTCTCCTCCTCCCCCTCCTTTTGTCCTCCTCCTCCTCCTCCTCCTCTCTGCAAACACCCCTCTCTTCTAGTACTAATGGTGTTCCATAGGTCAGGAAATGTCTACAAGAAAACCACCAAGCTCAGAGATCACCAAGGAGCCCACAATTCAACCATGAGTTACACATTTTCTCTTCTCTTGCTAATCGATTTCGTTTAAAGTAAAGTGCGAAATACTTCGTTGACTTTATTCTACATGTATATAATTAAATTTTACTTCTGATTTCCTCTTGATAACTTGCGGGGACTTGATACCATTTCAAAACAGAGGGTTGAAGAAAGAGATGTGAGTTGTAAGAGATGTAAGTTGAAGAAAAAGAGATGTGTTTCTGTTTGTTATTTTTGCTTATTTGTTTCCATATTGAATGTTTTAAATTGACCAGTGGCCAAAGCTCTTGTGTGCATTCCAAAAATGAATAGGACAAGAAACCTTGGCTTCCTAAACTTCCCAACCCTGTAACCGGAAAATTTCTTTTTGTAAGATTACAAATGTTTTTGTCAGGACCTGTAAGATCTTTTTTGAGTAATCAGACCGAGAAGTACCGAGGAATTTCCTGATAGTCAGAACCATTAACCAATGGAAATACTTCCTTCCAGAAGTTGTGAATGCTCCAACACTGGAGGTTTTCAAGAAGAGATTTGTCTGAAATGGCATAGGGGGTCTTCTGCTTGAGCAAGGGGCTGGACTAGAAGACCTCCAAGGTCCCTTCCAACCCCATTTCAGGTAGTCTGTGACTTGCAACCAGAATGGAGCCCAAAATTTATATTGCTAACCGAGTCAGCCTACCTTTCAGATTCATGAGGATCATCAAAAGGAAGAGGATTGCACAAATGCAGAGGAGGCCAATGACGGAGCAAGACCAGTTGGTCGTATCCCAGGCATCTGTAAAAGGGAAGGAAGGGACAAAGGAGAGATGAGAAGAAAGGAATGAAACCCCACCTGCCCAAGCTGGATTATCTGCACAGGAATGACTGAGCTGACGGGTGGAAGAATTGAAGGCTGCTTTATTCTTGATAATTTCTTTCTTCCTTTCTTTTCTTTCCTTTTTTGTAAGCTGCCTGGAATAACTTCAGATGGCAACAATAAAAGAGAAAAGGTTAAAAAAGGTAAAAGGTAAGCAGGTTAAAGGAGGAATGTAGAAGGTAAGGAGAAGTGAGGGGAAGTAGGAGAGAAGGGAAGAGGGGAATAAAATCAACCTCCCACTAACACTCAGGGTAAACCACTTGTATATATCAACAGAGAGCAAATCTCCACTCCCTTCTAACACTGATGATGTTCCCTGTTTGGGTTATGGAATATTTGCAAGAAAACAGGCTAGCTCAGAGAGCCCTAAGGACCCCACAAAATAAAGTACAATAGCGAAATAAGGTGCAATAATAAATAAAACACAATGAGAAAAAAAACATAAAATTTAATAAAATAAAATTTAATAAAATAAAATAAAAATGGCATGTACGCCGAGAGCTTTTGCACCCGAGACAAGTTCTATCACATTTGGTCAAGACGGTATTCTATTCTATTCTAAAATAATAAAATAAAATAAAATATTTGCATGTACCTAATTCTAATAATTCTATACTGAGGACTTACGCACCACAGGCAAATTCCCAGTCTGTCTATCACACTTGGCCAATAACGTATTCTATTCTATAATAATAAAATAAAATAATAATGAAATAAAACTGAATAAAACAATTAAAATAAAATAATAAAATAAAATAAAATAAAATAGTAAAGTAAAGTAAAGTAAAGTAAAAAAGTAAAGTAAAATAAAACAATAATAAATGAAATGAAATGAAATAGAGTACAGTACAGTAGAAGTGAAGTGAAGTGAAATAAAAATAAATAAATAAATAAATAAACGCCAGGGCTCCCAGGTGTGGCCCCGCTGCTCCTCCCCCTCCTCCAGAAGAGGGGGTCCCCCTTTTGGGGCTTACTCGGGGGGATGTGGGGGGGCCGAGAAGGGCCCCCCTCATCTTGCACCTCCTTGGAGGGTGACCGTTGCGGGGGCCCACGGCTGCGCAACCCGGATGGGCCGCTTTCCAGCAAGATCAACTCCTGGGACACCCCCATTTGGGGGGACCTATGGAGGCCCCCGGGGGCCTCCTTGGCAGGGCCAACTTTGGGGGTCTTAAACATGGCAGCCGGGCCTCCCTTGGATCTCCTGCCTGTGTGGCCCTCAGACAGGCCAGGCGAGGCCTGAGGAGCCCCCCAAATATCTTGGGGGGGGGTTGCAACTCCACAGGGGGGAAGGGTGGCCTTTCCCGCTGAAAGGGGCCCGGGGGCTTCATTTGGGCTCCCCTGGGAACCAAGGGAATCGCTTCGATTTGGGGGCCCCAAAGGAGCTCCGGAGGGCCCTTCCTCCTGGGCGGGGCTGCAGCCAGGGGACTCCATTTCCCAGAATGCCCCTCTCTGCCCAGTTGCCCTCCCTGAGGTGCTAGGCCCTCTCTCCCGACCAGCAATTCCCCCCCCCCCACTCTTCTGCAGAGGGGAAGCAATGGCTGCAAGCCAAGCCGGGGGTGGGTGGGGGTGGAATTCCCCCCCCCCCCAAAAAAGTAGCATTTCCTCCGTGCGGCTGCATTGAGGCATTGGGGGCCATCTTGAGGGAGCGAGGGGGTTGCAAAGGGGAAAAAAAGAGGGGGGGGTTGTCTTCCAGCAATGCAAATAAAATTTAAAAATGGCCTTTGCAGCTCTCTGCAGCAGCCCTTGGGGGGCAGAGGGTCTCCCTGGGCAGCGGCCTTTTGCTTCCCCCAATAGGCCTCCTTTGGGCCCAGGCACCAGCTGCCGTCGTCAGGCCTCC